GAGCCTCGTTATATTGATTGTTGAAAACTTGGATCCCGTTACTATATCTCGATGATTTTACTTGATTTTTGCAGGATTAATGACTTTTGACGACCAACAAATGGCATTGGGTTGCGAGTACGTACACATTTTCTCCTCTTCTAAGGTAATCCTCGCCAACTCCATTACATTGGCTCATTGTGGGATGGTTTGGATGAGTTGTCGTCAGTTTATGCCTCCTCTTTTGTTCTCCTTTCTCTATGACTACAGTTCTTATGTCCTTCTATTTTTGGGTGAATGGCGGTTCTTTTATTATTTTTTTTGAACAATTGCACTTATGATATTAAACTTAAAGGCTAATACAGAAATTTCATTGATCTCCAATGTTTCCGATGTACTAGATACGTTGTTGATTGATAAATAGAAATAGTAATCATTTCAAGAGTTGGTTGTATTGTCAATACATACTTTTAAATGCAGTAAGTTTTTACTTGCTTCACTGATAGTTATCTTCTCTAAGATGTTCACTATTTGCACTTAAATTTAGGAGCTCTTAGCATTAGATTTTGTCTTTGCGCTTAAAATTTGTTTCTCATATTTTATCATAGTAAAATGAAGAGGCTAGCTAGATATGATTATTGAGACATCAACAGATTTTCTAAATTGCTCAAAGATTAGTCTACTAAAGTTGTGTTTAAAGGTGAAATGGACAGGATTTGAGCAATAGAGGTTAGATCCTGTTTTTCTTATGCCTTTATCTTTCCTTCATCAGTAAGTTTATCTTCTAACTTGATCGTTTCCTTTTTCACTGTTCAGAGATTTTTCTTTTTTTTTTCATCTGTTTTGTTGTCTATTGACAAAGATATTATGTCTGCGTTATCATTGATAATAGAGTTTATAAAGTCAAGGGTCAGACGGTAAAATAATTTGTTTATTTAAAATGTTCAAGCATCTACCATTGAGGGAGTAAAATCCTTGGTTTATTTACAATTTTTTTTATTTATTACTTTAGTTCAACTATTCTTCTATTAAAAGCCTATAGCTTTGTATGGAGGAAATCTGAAAAGTCCTGTATACTAATGCCCTTTCAGAAATATCTATTGTATGTTTGTAGCGGTGAAGACACGTGTTGTTTCATTTACTCATGTCGAACCTAATTTCTCCTCTCTTTCTCTCATTGAACCTTCTCAATTAAATTCCTTGATCTTCTTTTCTTTTTTTATTCCTCCCTTTCTCATGTACATTTAGGGACTGTGTTCGTCATTATCAAATATCAACCTTCCTTTCACAAGGAAAGATATGATATGGACCTTTGTGCATGTCTACTCTAATAAATGATTTTGCTCTGTTAATAAATGATTGGGCTTTTAAATCTACCAAATTGAACTTTTTTCCCTCAACATTTTGCAGGCTGAATACAGATCCAACAAATGTATTACCTGTTTTTTCTTGGAAGCAACATTTAAATATAAACATCATCAACAATGAAGATGTGAAACTAAAATTTGCTTACTCTTTTTTGGTGTTTATGAAGGAGAAAGAACTCAACTTTACATACAGCAACATGCAATTTTTTTCCCAAGGTAGCTACTTTGTTTTGTTTCTTAATTCTTAAAGTTATGGTTTGACACTTGATATATTTGAATATATCAAAGATCTGATCTCTTTTCTGAATTATGAAATTTAAAGATTATATTTATGTAGATCTCAAAACTGAGTTTTAAACTGTCAAAGCATTCTTAATCCTTTCATTTTCATCTTACTGTTAGATAAAATGGACAGTAGAGGTCTAGCCATAATTGAATATCCTTGAATGATGTTAATTTTTTTGTTAAAAAAAGAAAGGAAAAATATTATACCAATTATAGAATGTTGAAGGAAGTATAGAATAGAGTTTAACTTAAGAAGCCTGCAATTTTGCAAATTGTAATAGACCCCTGTTGGAAGGATTCTCATGATCCTCTATTTATTTAAGTTTGGTACTGAACTGGCACTCATAGGAAGGAAACACTTATTCAGATTTCTCTTCTTCTTTTTTAAAGTACTTTGGGACTGAACAGGCACTCATAGGAAGGCAACAGTATATGAATTAACTATCTCTTACATTATACTTCTGAGGATCTTTATAAATATTCCTTGAATGATTAAAATTGTTGGAATATGAATGTATATGTTATCTTATCCTTCCTATCATTATTTTATATTTCTCATAAATCATAAAAACAAATTTATAATTGTGTTTCAAATTTCAATATAAATAGCCATTAAATGAATGATTACTGACTTTTACAAGACATGATCTCAATAAATGCATATGATGAAAATTTTACATTTCCTTGGTTGGTGTTACTTTTTTTTCAATCTATTCAACAAATTTGTATTTATGTTATTGTTTCTTAGAAAGACAGGTTGGTTCCTGCACAAATAAGGTATTCACAATGAATGATGACTAAGATATGCATGTAATGTTTTTGGAGTTGCAAAATTTCCTATAGATTTTTGGGGTAGTTTATGAAATTGTGATTTTGTACATTTAGGGGGAAGCAAGGGAGTATGGTAAGGTCTTAACTCGGAACATATTATATATGATGTTAAAAGGCTCATTGGAAGTAAGTTTGTAATCAGTTAAGAAGTATTTTTGTGTGAAATTAGCATAATAGTATTGTGGTGCTTATGTTTCTTGAGATCTTTGGTATCCTAATTTGAATTGTTAGTGTTGTTTGGCAGCTTTGATGTTACAAAAGTTCAAAAGATTATTAAGATATGAGCAAAGATGACATGTAGAAGTGGAGATTAAAAATGGCTACTTCAAATTGTTTAGCAAGAATTGAGCATGTTGTCGTCCCTGTTTCAAGTATAATTTATTCATAACATGGGTTTTCACATTACTACTACAACAATGATACTAAACCTATTTGTTCATGAAAAAATTATCTTTTTTTATTCTTCTGTAATGTACAGACTATATATATATATATATATTGGTTTTTCACACACACATATATATCAACTTCTTCATTGGAATGGCATGATAGGACTTTCTTAGTCATATAAAACGCAGGTCTTTTAACGTGTCGCACCAACTTTCCTGAACATTATGTATTCAAGCTTTCTGGGCATAATTTACTGATGACTTAAACACTTGGACCCTAAAGTGGTATGTGTCTTGCTCTTCTCTTCGATGAACTACTTGATTACTTTTAATCTTTAGGTGTGCTAGAGGAGTGAGTCCTTTTTCGTGAGGCTGATCTTTTCATTCATTCAGTGTTCACCTATGTTGTTCGGTCTCTTCAAAAATGTCAATGGGTGCATGTCGGATTCTCCAAAAGTGGTGTATATTTAGAGAATCCGACACAAGTGCGACATCAAAAGTGAAGTGTCTGTGCAACTTAGATTTCTACAAAGCTGTTAGAGTGGGGGGGGGGGGGGGGAGCTTACAGAGTCAGCAAAGCAATTATATTGTAGATAAATTAAAATTTCAGTGGAAAGAATATAACTATTTCTGCTCAATGTATGAACAGGTTGTATTGTCATAAATGCATGTTGAACTGAAAGTGTAGGCAATTTTCTATCTCAATATATGATGTACTGCCATGTTGCATCGATGTGGCTCTACATCTGCGGAAAAAAATCTCATTTTTTGAGATCAAATCTGAAATCAATGATTGTTAGGTAATGTTACTTACTCTTTCTTTATTTTCTGGATAAACAACTTAAATCTTATTATAATGTAATAACTTCACTAGAGTTTTTTTTTGGTTATCAAAACACTTCACTAGAGTTTTTGCTTTTAAAAGACATGTGGTAGTGTCTGCTTATATTTGGTAATTCACTAGATTTTCCATTTGTGCATTTTTCTGACATTTGCAAATTGATTTGATCTTCTCTTTTTGCAGATTTTACTTGAATCATTGTTGGCATAAGAATGAGTTAGATTTTGCTCTCCGAACTCTGGATAATATAGGTTGTAATAGGCAACTCAGTTGCAATTCTCTTTCTACTTCTTTTCACGTAAAGAAATTCGATGTTTCATTCAATTATGTACAAGCACAAGATTTTTTTTCCTAATGCTAACTTTATGTTTAGTTTGCTTATACTATTGTATTGTTGCAATGACAAAAGGAAATCGAAACCATGCATGTTGGGCCCGTGCTAGCACGGGCCATACCCCTCTAGTATATATATATATTTGAGTTCCAAACCATAGGCTTTTCCTTTGAAGCTTCTCAAAGAGCTAAATCACTGTTTCTCACAACACAATTAAGATTGGCATTCTTCTAAGACCAACCAAATCCCCAGTCAAAAATATCCCAAAACAAGCTCAAAACCTACCCTCTACCCTCAGAAAGTAGGGTAAGGTCTGCTTAACAATCTATCCTCTCCGAACCCCACTTATGGAATTGCACAGAGTATGCTGTAGTTGAGCTCAAAACCTAGAAATGAAATGTTCAAATAACTGAAAAGTTCCAAACTTTAACCCTTCAAAAAAGAAAAACTCATCTATCAAACCAATTTAACATTGCAGCAAAATGTTAATAAAAAGGGGACAAAATTAACAAATTACCAGGAACTGGGAAACGACTCTTCGAAAGTTTTTTAGCATAATCTTCGTTATCAGACCCAAAAAGGTCCTTATAATCATCATCATCCTCTTCATTCTGATGATACCCACTGCTATTATTATTATTATAATCGTTATTACATAGAGAAATCACTTCGACGGTATCATCCTCATCCGCTTCTCTTTCACTCCCACTTCCACTTCCACTATCACTACTTCTACTCCTATTAGACGATGAAAAACGCGAAGAAGAACCCGATGAAGACGATGACGATGCGGCGGCGCCTGAAGAAGTAGATGATGATGATTGTGATGCTGAAGATGGTGATGATTGATTACTCTCTTGCCGTTGCCTTTGTTCTTCTTCATCTTGGTGGTTTGAATAGTTTTCTTATTCCTGTTGTTCGTCTTCATCTTCTTCTTCTCCGAATAAACGTTTCAACCGATTCGTCATCTTCGCCTCCATTGTAGAGGCGGTCGATTGGTGGTATAACGGCGGAGTTGGTGGGTGGCTGGCTGTTTTCCGATTTCGATCTTTGCTAGTGTTAGCGTAACAAATTGAGATGTTTTCCGGGAGTTTTTGGTATTTATGGAATGTACAGGGGGTATAGTGCAAATATTGAAAACTATGATCCATGGGCTTTGAAAACCTTAACGTCTCTCTCAAGTCCAATTTGTTTTTCTAAGGCCCAATTAGATATTTATCTGATGGGCCATTTTGGGCACTATGGCAATTCTGATTTTGTTTGAGTAAGTATGGAGTAACTTTGTCCACAAACTTTGGACGTTAGTCGGTAAATCGAGTTGATATTTATTTTTTTTCCTTTATTTTATAAGAACTTAGAGTTCCGAATTTAGGAGAAGTTTTTTCAAGAAAATAAACAAAGAAGAAAGAAGAAGAGGGGATTGAAATTAATAAAATACTATAGTATCTAGTATACTAGTACAAACGTAGAATAACAACAACAATATTACAAGTGACAACAACATATATCGGTGGATAATGATAAATATATCACGATACAAAATATAGAAAGAGTAATACACCATCAGAATACATGTTTTATAGTAGGTAACATACCTTATAAAGACTTCATAAGGAAGGAAGCATATATATGATAAGTAAGATAACGAACGAGGAACAAATCCTTGAGTAAGCATTATTGATTTGATACAATTACACCAGAGGCAGAGGTAGAGGATTTGTTTGAGTTTCAGGGTATTGGTCTTGTTCATTCACACTATTATTGTTGTCAAACTCCCCATTGATGAAAATGCTAAATCTTGGAATTGTGGCGAAAATACGCATAATCCATTCGCAGAAGCTAGTACATGTATTGAAAATCCAAGAAGAACATGAAAGTATAATGGTAATGAAGAAAATGTACCAAAATAACATTTGTGGGAGTAGAAGTGAGGCTAAGCATAGGATAAAAAGGGATTTGTTGAAATATCCTGAATATATTATGTGTATCGCCGTAATTGGATGATGAATTGTTATACGAAAGATGGAAAAAGGAATGGAAAATAATAAAAGGAAGAAGAGTTTGTTCATAAATTCCATTAAAGTTGGGTAATTGAGATGATTGGCAAATATGTGGAAAGGATCCCAATTATCAGAAATAGATAATGTGGATTTGAGGATGTTAATTATAATCACGATCAAGTATCTTAGATCAAACGCCATAATCTTTTTGAAGCTTTTTTGGTGTTTCGTCTTAAGCTCTTTGGATCAAATTTTATAGTGTGAGTACTCTTTGGATCAGATTTTATAGTGGTGGGTCCGTTTATTTCCCTTTTATCAATGGCCGGTAATTCTTTCTTCTACATCCCTTTGGGTCCCTTTATTTCCCTTTTATCAATGGCCAGTAATTCTTTCTTCTACATCCCTTTGGGTCCCTTTGTAGCTTTTCCTTCTACATCCCTTTGTATCTTTGGGTCCCTTTGTATCTTGTAATCTACTTGCCTTTGGGTCCTTTTATTAATTCTTTCCCGTTTATATCTTGTTATGTCGTAAATTTTACTGTCTTTAGAAAAACCATCTTTTAAAATATTTTAAGTATAAAATAATTTTAAAAAAATACTTAAAAAAAATCTCACTTGATTTTTTAATGAAATTAAGAAAACTTAATTTAATTGTTTTTTAACAGATTAAATCTTTATAAATTTATAAAAAATGGGTAATAAATTTTTTTTTACGCTTCAAAAGGTGTTTTTTAAGACATTTGAACCGTCCGCTAACACCAGTTATCCTACAACTTGACTAACTTTGAAAAAAATTTAAAGGGAAAAAAAATCATTTGAAATCAATTGAACTTAAAACTTATCAAAATAATTTGGAAAGGAAAGTAAGCTTTGTCAAAAGTGATCAAATAAAGAAAGCCAATTAAATGAGATTTGTTTAAGTGAAATAAATTATCATAATAAGAAATGGCTCATCTTTAGGAGATTTTAATTAAATTAACCAATCAAATAAAGGTTAGTAAATACAATAAACAATAAATAAATTATCACAATTAAATAAGTTAGGGGTAAAGGAGAAATTGAATTTGGGCCGTTGTTGGGCCTGCTGCTGTATTGGGCTTTGGACCCATTTTTGCCTTTCAAATCCTGTACATACCCCAAGTGTATACCGCTGTATACGGGTCGTATCTTAGCCCATTTTTCTGTATATCGTACTGTATGCCAAGTGTATGCAACCCATATCAACTTTCCAGCACTTGTATCAATTTTTTGGCCCAGTATTTGTTGCACTCAACCTGTATATTAGTGTATACTTAGTGTATACAGTCCATTTATGGATTTTCCGAGGCTTATGTTTCAACTTCCTTAACCTGTAAGTCAGCATCTCAAGACCTGTTCATCACTTTGGCTGACTCGAGAGGAATATAATTCAACAAAATGCAGGGATGGTGTCTAAAATGGACTCAAATGAATGTCACATGTATCAAAATATATATGAAAAAGTATGCAATAATGATGTATTTGGCAAATCAAATATAACCATCCGCGCTTCTATCATGTTGGCACAACAAAATAGTAGTCCAACTGTAGTTTAAGACTTTGGTTAGTAAATTAATCTAGTCCATTGAATGTATAAGTAGACACGTGTAATAAATTTAAAGGCCTACTGGAGGCACTGGATAGGATCCAAATCCAAAATTTGCCTACTTTTCATGCATTGTGGGCCATTCTTTTTCTCCTCCCTCTATTAATTAATGCATATAATATAAGTCTCACTCCTTATTTTGAATAGCAACTTTATTACCTTCTCTTTATTTCTACATCATAACTTTTTTCATTTTATTTTTTATGGCAAAATCATTTTTTTAAAATGCTAATTACTTTATTTGTTTACCAAACTAGTATACATATTCACGCGTTGCGCGGATATTTAAAATGAATAAGTTTTTTAATTTAAAGTAACTAATACAATTAACCGATGAACATATTATGTGTAATTATAGTTCTTGAAATTCAAATATTTTAAAATTTAAAATAAAAATAAAAATTTATATCATATATTTAAAATCGCAATTTTAAACTTAAACTAATATTGTGAATAGCCTTAAATTTGCTAAATAACTTATAATTGTGATATTGTTCAGGATAGACTTTAACGCTTCCTAAATATAGATAAATATTATTTATCCTAAATTCAAAAACTTAAGTTTTATTTCTCATAAAATTACTTTTCAATTATTTTGAAAATTTTGATTTTCCTTTTCAATTTGTTTCGAAATGGAAAAGGTAGTAGGAGGTTTTAAACTGATTTTGTTTTTAAATTGTGATGGTCATTAATAATTTATTTAGATTAAGAATAAAATTAAAAAATAAAAATTATTTAGTTGAATAATCCCTTTTTTTTTGTACGTACAATTTAAATACTATTTTATTTTATTTTGAATGAAAACTTTTACAATTTTTTTTATAAATTGAAGGTAGAGTAATGGAAAGTTTATATTATTTATGTATTAATTGGATTTTAAATTATTTTTTTCACATAAAGTTAAAATCGAACTAATACATAAATAATATAAATTACTATTGCTATTAGGACTATTTCCAAATATATATATATAGGCTTTTCCTTTGATGCTTCTCAAAGAGCTAAATCACTGTTTCTCACAACACAACTAAGATTGGCATTCTTCTTTCACAGTTCCAAACCAATCACTAATCATTCAATTGTTTTTCGCTCATACAACAGAGTGCCAATATAGGCACATCTCAATGAGTATTAACTTGAGTAAAAATATATATGGACATTAAGTAGATTTTTCACGAAGTAGCAAAGTCAAGGCCATCTAGACGCTATTTAAATTCCTGTATACTTCTACTTGAGTAATTTATGGTTTTGAACAGCCAAGACATTTTCTGCTTAGAATCTTGAATATCTACAACTCTTTGATAGCTTTTCACTATGCCAATTATCTAATTGAGTTCTCTGTGAGATTCCAAACTGAAGAATTTAAAGACAATGAACTATAGCTCACTAGATGATATCTATAGCAATAACATTAACAAGCTACT